CAGTGATGAAGTAGCAACGAAAATAATTTTATGGTTGGGTCACAACATGAGGAACTGTATTTAAAGGGCCAGAAGGTTGAGAACCACTGCTTTAGGGTTTAGGTTTAGGAGATGCATGCCTGTGGGGGAAGGAGAGGGGAAGGGAAGTGGAGGCTGCTCCCTAGAGGAAGAGCAGGAGCTGGGCTCCTTGTCCTGTGGCTTTATCTCCTTCTCACAGGCAGGAATCTTAGGGGAGGTCTCGGGGGGAGGGTTTCAGTAGAATATTCATCCGTTTTCTAGCTGGGCTCCTCCAGGGCTGCGGTCTCCACTGATGGGTCAGTGTGAGGGCAGAGAATCATGAGTCATTACAGCTGGTCTTGGTGCGGCCCACCTGGTTTTGCTGCTTTTCGGGGCCTGGAGCTGAAATACAACTGAGGCCTAGATGTCCTTTCTAGGGAGGTGAACCTTCTGCACCTGCTGTAAACTGCTCTGCAATTTGTTCAGCTGTCTCCGTTTCCCCATTTCACTTGACCTGACTTATTGGCCCCTCTCCACAGGAGTTGGGGTCGATGCTGCTGTTGCCATGTCATTCTGGTCGTCATGCAGCACGTGCTGAAGGCTCCGGAGCCCTGAGCCAGCCGCCTCCGTCACAAGAAGTTGCCAGTACATTGGCCACAAAGATGCACGTTTATCCTGCCTCAACCTCATCGTCGTTCCTTCTCTTCTGTCGCCAGGGGCCTCAGGTCCTCTGGCTCGGCCCTCTGTCAAGGCCTGTGCCCTTGTTGGGCTCCCTGGGCTGTGGGCTCCCAAGATGCCTCCGGCCAGGGCTCACCTGGTGCCGGCACTGACCGAACCATTGGAAAAGGTGGAAGAAGCAACCTGGGGACAGCAGCTCTGCTCCAAACCCCGTGGTGGGCCTCAGGGATGTTGCTCCTTCTCTCTGGGACTCAGTTTACTGCGTCAAATGGGGCAGTAATCATAGCTCCTCTCTGGGGAAGACTGTGATGGCCACACTCGTCAGCATTTAGGGTACACCTGATTTTACCAGGAAGGAATGGGGGGATCCAAATGCCTTTCTTCACAGGTGCGTTGTAAGTGACCGTCCCAAGTGGCCGGCGTGGCGAAGCATGACCGCATCCACGTAAGCGTAACAGTGTGCTCTGGGATCTAGCAGACAATCTGGGCGTCGGGAAAGGCAATCATATTTCACCGGCTCTGAGAAAAATGAACACAGTTCCACAGCCACATAGAGCTTGAGCGGAATCTGTGAGCAAGGAGTGGGTGAGGGAGAACGTGCCGGGAGAGCCAATACCGGCCTGTGTTTGCTGCAGCCCGATAACAGGAAGACAAACCCCAAATTAAACAAATAGGAATGAATTTCTCTGCGTGTAGTCGGAGCAGATATATCACTTAAAAATGGGTAGAGCAAGCGGCAGAATGCAATAAATCCAAATGAACTCCGAGGCTGAAGTAAAAACAAATATTTCACTGAGTAGCAGTACAAGATGGGACACGGGAGGAAAACAGAGAAAGGACTGTTTGGAAGAACCACTCACGACGTAGTCACATGACTGTGGCAGGAAGGGGTCGGTAAGTGTCCCATTAAGGTCTGTCTCTTGCATGCTTTCTCTCAGGAGTTCCTGGCCCTGCTGACTGGTCCAACATGGGGCTGGGGGACGGGGGTGGGAGGGAGAGATGACAGCCACACGACCAAGTCCACTGAGGCCCTCTCAGATCAGCCTGTCTCCTGAGCTGGAGGACAGGACCCAGCTCTTTGCCCTATGCCCCCAACTCACCCCCACTTGGCTGACCTCCTGGAGGACCCCCACTCAATCTCCCACTAGGATCTCTGGCCTTGGGGACTGTCCCTCCTTCAAAAGGTGCCAGCAGCTATTCACAGCCGAACTGGCTTCTTGATGTTTATGGAGCATCTGTGAAACTTAGTTGTTGTTTTTTCATATTTTGTTGGCATCTTTCAGGCCAGCCTTATCTCCACGGGCACATGTACAGGTAGGGCACCCTCCCAAGGGACCTGAGGCACCGAGAGACTCCTACCTCAACCTGGAGGTGAGGGGATGGGCTCAGGGAAAACTGCGAGCCCTGCTCCTGTGCCCTCTCTCTGCAGCCCCAAACCATTCCGCTCGCCATCAACTCCATGTCTTGGCCACGGGCTTCTTGAAGCAAATGCCGTAAACTGTGATCCTTGGCTTTTTCTTTTTCTTTCTTTTAAATCACAACAGCTTTATTGAGAGAGAATTCACATACCACCCAACTCAGCCATTTCAAGGGTACAACTGTATGGGGTTTTTAAAAATATATATATTTTATTGATTTTTTACAGAGAGGAAGGGAGAGGGACAGAGAGTTAGAAACATCGATGAGGGAGAAACATCGATGAGAGGGAAACATCGATCAGCTGCCTCCTGCACACCCCTCACCGGGGATGTGCCCGCAACCAAGGTACATGCTCTAGACTGGAATCAAACCTGGGACGCCCCCAGTCCACAGGCCGATGCTCTATCCACTGAGCCAAAGCTGTCAGGGCTGTATGTTTTTTTAAAAAAAATATTCGCAGAATTAAGCAAACATTACCACGATCCAGTTCCAAAACATTTTCATACCCATATTCCACACCCATTAGCAGTCACTCTCATTCCTCCAAGAAACCACTAATCTACTTTCTGTTTCTATTCTGGCCACTCCCCAGAAATAAGATCATAAAACATGTGGTCTTTTGTGTCTGGCTTCCTTCACTTAGCATGATGTTTTCTAGATTCGTCGGTGCTGTAGCTGGATGCATCTGTATTGTAGTCCTTTTTATCGCAGAATAATATTCCACTGTGAGTGCACTATACAGTTTGTTTCTCCATTCATCCATTGATGGACACTTGGGTTGGTTCTACCTTTTGGCTATTGTGAATAGAGCTGCTATGAGAAAGGGTCACTGGCCACTATCCTCACAGTGGCTTGCCCCTGGGTTGAGGACTGGGGGAATGGCAGCTGATCTGTTAAACGTGGATATTGACTGAAATGCACTCACATTTATCAGCCTCTTCATCAAGCTGTTGCCTGGAGGCTGCAATTGGTCAACAGTGCTGAACAGATCAGGGTGTCCAATTCTCTGATATGCATGGAGCACCTGGTGAACCAGGTGAACCTGGTGGGCAAGGTGGGTGAGGTGGGGAGTGAGGCTGCCACCCACAGTCAGACCCAGCTGTGGGCTACTAAAATGTCTTCAGGAGCTACAGGAAGGGCCCAGGAGCGAGTGATGGGGAGGGGGCCCTATAGCGGGCAGGCAGGCAGGTCCCTCCCAGAAGGTGTTATTCCTGCGGCAGGCTCAGAATGTGATGTTGGAAGGAAGGGCATCCCAGGCCCAGAGTGGGAAGTCCTTAGGAGTGAAGGGAGGCCTGAGGGAGGTGGCAAAGCAGATGGCTTTGCTGCCAGCCCCAAGGGTGGCACTGAGGGCCTGCAGAGGAGGTTGGGGAGGGGACTGAAACCAGGGAGACCACAGGGGTTCCCACGGAGCCTGTAGGTGCCGGGCAGGCCATTGGGTGGGCGGTGGGACTGGGAAGACAGGAGCGATGGCTTCCCAAACGCCCCTTTACCCCGCAGGAGAAGTGGACCGCCTCAGCTGTGAGTCCGTGCGGCTCAACGACCAGGGAGGAGCCCAGGTGCGCAGGTGCGCCACGGCGCTGGTTGGCGGCGCAGGATCCACTTGACCCGGGGCGACTTGGGAAACCTGAAAAGAAATCGCACACCCGGTAGCCGTCAGGAGGCACGGAGTCCACGGTGGGGAAGGTGGAGCTGGGGGTGGGTGGCCAGGGAGACAGGGTCCCGTTTGGGGGTGTGGCCACGGACTGAGAAGGCGGGGTTCAGGCGTGAGTGGGGCCGCCCCGTGCGCGGGATCTGCCACGGGACA